AATCACATTTTAGCATGTAGCATTTCTAGCTACAAGCTTCTTTAACAACGAGCGCTATGCTATTGATCGCATTGATTTCAATCTTCTGACTTAAGTCAGATGTTACATCGAACTTGGTTCTCTGAACCATGTAACAAACTCATCGTAGTCGGACTCAATTTGATATGACCACTAGGGTCGGAATAACAATCATCTCATTATTCATTACCGAAACGATGGTAACGAAATACATGAACAAAAACGAAATCAATTACTAGCTTCTTGGTAACCTTGTGACTTTCCCTGATCCAAGTGTGAGTCTTGTGCTTCCAGTAGTATAGGTCTCTACTACTATTCACACCTACTCATACTCGTCTCAAGTATGGTCTCGCAGTCCCCAAGTCCTAAAATCACAAAACAATTTAACACATACGAATGTGTCCAATTAATCATAAAACTTTTCCTAGACTCTACTAGGACTTCTTCCATGCGTATCTTCAATCATCAATTCTACTTCAAATCGGTTGGTGATGGAAATTCCAAACGATGGGACAACTTCAAGAATTATACCAATCGTTCCATCATCCTGCCAATCGAAGGTGTACTTCAGACGTACCGTACTCCTCTAAACGTTCCATTATTTTATCAGACACATTCTAAAGGCAAGATACCACTCTTACGATATCTTCCGATAGGTGTCATTCACTATCATAAGCCTTTCATTTCCTCCATCTACTCAATTCTCTACAAGTCTTCACCATAACGTTTTGTACACCCAAGCAGACGTTCGGTGTACTTACGCGAGAATTTTAAGATAGGAAAGCTTTATTTACGATAGACGTATAAATCTCCTTATCACTCTAAATGTATACATGCTAGTTCTAGTATCGTAGTCATACGCTTAGAATCCTAAACACGTAAGGTTTCCAGATCCGGTCGGCAAAAGACCATAGATCCGAACAACTAGTATCATATATGGCAAACATATAACATTTAGCACATAAAAGCATTTTAGGTATCTTTCCTAAAATATACTAGTGCTCGTGTCTATTCAGGTGCATTACCTAAATTTATTAGACACACTCCTCACAATCATTTCTTAGCATTCTAAGTTTAAGTCTAGAAATCCTACAAATTCCTAGTTCACTTAAACTAATGCTCTGATACCAACTGTGACATCCTCATTTTCACGGCCAGAAAAGACCGATTTTGTTTATGCTTTATAAAAATCAGAGTATATTTTTAAAGAAATATATTGCGGAATTTGTTCCCAGAAAAACATGATAAATATATTATCCAATCATTTCCGAAGAAATGTATTTTTATTCATTTTAAAACTTTGGGATGTCATCGTCAATACTGAAACATAAGCATAAACAGACCTTACATTTATTTACACTAGTGATCTACATCTCCTTTAATCTCTCAGTGTAAAGTAGCTTCGTATCGACACCTGTGATACAAATAAGATTGAGTGGGTCAGGTTGCGACACCTGGTGAGTACATAGGATTTTCAACCTACAATAATATAATTATTATGTTTAATCATCAAACAATTAACCCAATTACCCATCTCCATTATCTTCTTTATTCCTAATTACCTTCCCTAAGGATTTATCCTAAGGGTCATCTCCTACATCGTATTTACCTCTCATCTCCTTACATCGCATTTCCTTATATGTTTGTTCCTAAGGACTATTCCTAAGGATCATCTCCTTACATCGCATTTCCTTATATGTTTGTTCCTAAGGACTAGTCCAGTAAGGGTTAGTGTATCATCGCATGAATACGTAGTTACAACATCGCCTGAACTCGTAATTCATAGTAAGGGATTGGGTATCATCACATGAATATGTAGTTACAACATCGCCTGAACTCGTAATTCATAGTAAGGGGTTAGATTATCATCGCATGAATACGTAGTTACAACATCGCCTGAACTCGTAATTCATCACCTACAGGTTATGAGCCTGCTGGTGTTTCCACATGACTGTCTAGAATAGTCAGTGGTCGCCATCTATACTCTGGTAGATGACTACATCGTCGGTCAAGGTTATGGTATCTCCTCTCATCTCACATCACCTATTTATCATCATCTATCTATCATCACCTAATTATCATCACATTAATATCATCACCTATCTCTCATCACCTAATTATCATCACCATTCTATCATCACCTATCTCTTTTTTTACCTAATTATCATCACCTTTCTATCATCACCTACCTCTCATCACATTATTTCATCACACACCAACTATTTTACCCCAACATATTTGTAGATATAAAATACGTATACAGTTTAAATCATCTAAAACATGTATAAAACGTTCATCCGGCAATAATATCAGGTAAACAGATAATATGCACACATAGCACGTAATATATATAAAATACTTCATATCTATGTGTAAGATGAAAGTAACTATACACTCACCTTAATAGCGTGAGTCGATAAAATCTAACTAAAAACAGTCAGCGGTTCGTGATCGTCAGGCTTGGGATGCGAAACGCCTTCAGCAAACGATAGAGAGAGAAAAGAAATGGTGTAAGGAATGAAAGGGTTGAACTTGCTATTTATAGGTTGTTATGGGACCCATTCACGTCGTGAACATGATAGGTTCACGTCGTGAACTTACATGAGTCACCCCATAGCTTTAACACGTGTTTTCTAGCCCCGATTAGTGTCCCTGACACGTTTCACGTCGTGAACTTAATGTTCACGTCGTGACTTAAGGCGGCTAGGGTTTCAGCCACGTGTCATGTTCTCAACAGCTGCATCTTCGGAAGGCCATAACTTCTGCATACAAATTCCGTTTTCGACGTTCTTTATATCCACACGTAGGTGGAGACGTACTTTACAACTTTCTTTTAGTTCATTAAGGCTAAAAAGTACTTTATCATAAACTCACTTTTTATGATTCCCGGTGTCGTGCCGGTTTTGTTGCGAAACTTCGACAGGTCATAATTTCTTCGTTATAACTCAGATTTCAGTATTCTTTATATGTACGGAAACCTTGTGACATATACTACAAATTATTTAAGATTATTTATTCTAAATAATCCTATATCAAAAAGTCATTTTTTGACTCTTATCGTCTCTAAATTGACTAGCCCGAATCTGCGAGCGTGACAGCTCTCTACCGTTCTTACAAATTACCTGCCTCATTCCCTCTCTTTGTTCGGCTAATAGAGCCCTAAGTATTGCCATAGTGACAGGGTCAGCTACTGGCACTTCTTCGGGTGCGTAGTCAATCACTCGTGGCTCAGGCTTTTGGTTTCCATTAGCATTTCCTAAACCGCTACGTGTTCTCACCACAACGTTCTATACACCAAAGCAGGCGTTCAGTGTATAATGATGAGAATTAAGGTATGGAAAACTCTATTTATGATAGACATATAAATTTCCTTATTACTCCGAAAATTTGCATGTCGGTTCTAATATCATGATTAAATGTTTAGAAACCTGAACACATAACATTTCCAAATCCGGTCGACAATAGACCATAGATCCGATCAAAAAATAGCATCCTAAAGCATATAAGGCATCTTATAGCTATAACATAAATCATTTAGCACATACAAGCAATTTAGGCATCTTCCCTAAAATAAGTTAGTGCTCGTGTCTATTCAGACATACTTTCTAAATATAACAGACACTCGTCTCACAATCCGTAACATCTCAAAATCACAACAAATTTAAACTTTCAAAAATGACCCATTTACTAAAAAGAAGTGCTTACAAAACCATTGTTTTCAAACATTATCTAAAAACAGAGTCTCCCAAGATCAACAACATGAAACCAAGGATGTGTATGGTCACGCCTTCGCCTTGCCACGGTCCTCTAAAGTACTTGAAACCAAAACTAAAACTGTAAACCAATACTTAGTGAGTTTCCCCCAAATTGCCACCACACAATACACATATCATACATTGGACTGGAATATCCATGGGTCCACAGCCATCAGGCTGGATTACCCCTAGCCTAATTAGTCACCAGACTGGAATGCCAATATACAACAAGTCCACTCAGCCATCGGACTGGAATACCAATATACAATGGACTCACTCAGTCATCGGACAGGAATACCCTCGGGTTGACTCAGTTATCAGACTGGAATACCCTCGGTCTGTTGACTCACGCATATAGCAGTAAAATCTCAACCCAACACAATATGTCGACATATAACAAATAACAAAGATATTCAACAGACAAATAACCATGCATACAGAAATCACAAGTAATCCTACAGATCTACCGGTCTACGCATATCAACAACTATCATATAATCATATAGATCTATCCCATACTCAACATATCTTCAATCCAGGTATAACAGGATAACAATCCAATTGGGTCGGCCTTGGTGGCTTCGACCCACAAGTACTGTGAGGGAAACTCACTTCACAATCTGACGAAAAGCTTATCAATACTCTGCTCCTAAATACCGGCTCAACCCAAATCCTAAATGTCCAAACATTTCCCATTAATAAAATAATAACATTTTCCCCAAAATACCCTTGATCAAACTTGGTCAAATCAACAAGTCAACCGAGTCAACCCAACTGAGTCAACGTAGCCGAGTCGACTCAGGGCTCGTACGCTGGGCGTACTCCAGAGGTATATGGGACGTATTCGAGTTTGACCAGAATCGGGGATGATAATCACTACGCCACGAACACCCGATTTCACTTATTTATATGTAAAGGGCACCTACAAGATGTTATTTTTAGCCACATAGATTTTCCTCACTTTGCTGCTATAAATATCATTTCTGATACTAATCGGGCATGTAACCCAGGAAGGAACCGTTGTTATTGAGCTCGTGAATTATGGAATTCTTCATTTTGGCGTCTATTCTAACGATGGTAATTATTAAAATATTAATAACAACGCCTAACTATACGGGAATACCAAAAATATACACCAACACTACTACAATATCAACGTCATTCAAGAAAACCATACAATGTGCTCACAGAAAAATTCAATTATATATTTCAAAAGATAATGTATGTAGGTACTAAATTTACCATAAAGGCGAACGCATAATAATATATTATTTTACAAAGTTTATATAATAATAGCTAGTTAAACTATGTGTATAAATATCATTACAATAATTTATAATTGTATAAGTGGATCAACAACATAATTAATTAAAGGGCCACATTAACTAAGCATGGCATTCTGGTGGAACAACTTTGTATCTAGAAGTATCTTTGCAATAAGAGTAAAACATATGCTTTGTTCGAGCCCAATTTAGACCAACCATTTGTTGTTTCGTTAGCTTTATATATTCGTCTCCTTCAAGTGGATCAAAGCTTGAATGCGCTATGTTTTTTGAGCATGAACCTATAGACGATGAGTTTGTTGTCTGCATCAAACTGCAGCCTTCAATTTCTAGCTCTCCTAATGATGCTACAAATGGTGCATATTTATAGTTAACCGGATATTTTCCTCCATGTGTTGCCCACTCTGAACCATCCCAGATGGTTACATATAACGACATTGGCTTTGAAGGATATACCAAAGATGATGCTTGATTGTGGATTACCTCACGTACTGGTATATTGTCTACTAAATATCTGCATTAGAAATTAAGTTTAGTTCATTAATAAAGTGTACGTACGTAAAACGTAAATAAACATCGACAAATGAATGTAATTACTAATTGCTGACACAATAAACCCTAATAAAATGATATCATGGGATAAATTAAAAAACAGATTTTCCAATAAGTATGTAAGATATGACTCTAGCTTATAAGGGGTTCACAACCAAATATGAAGGTACGTATGTTACGACAAAATTGTCTATGTATCTTTAGAACACATTACCTTCCGACCAAAAATGTGTTCATCTTAACCATGGTTAAACCTTGGGTTAATCGATGATGAACTTATATAATCACGATGCGTACTACAAAATTGTCTACGTAACTCAGGACACATGATGTTCCCACCCACCATAAATTAAAAACAGCCAAGACTTATTGAACCCTCCGTGAGCGGCTTAACCATGGTTAAACCTTGGGTTAAATGATGATGAAACTTACACTATGTGATGGGTATTCCATAGTATGCTATATTGATGAAAGTCTTGTGTGGGGTCAAACCAAAGGTAAAACTTCTCTTCTCTTCCAAGTTTGACACTTCCATTCCCGTAGATATTTGTTTGAAGAACCCATTCTTTTCTCTTCTCATGCCCAAGCAATTCGAAGTCAATCTCATCATGGTTGTGTGGATACACATCTGAATTAGACATCTAAAATTGAAAAAAAAAATAGACATTTAACTAATAGTAGAAAAGAATATTTTAGATATTTCACTAAAAATGAAGACCTCACATAGAAAGCTAGTACTACTCCTGATGTAACTCCCACAGGCAGCCTTATTGCAGCACTAAAGAATCCATGGAAATATTTTTCTTTAGAAACTAATCCAGAACCTAAACTCAATAGGAAAACAATATATTTTATTTACCATCTTATATATAGCAAAAAAGTTTAAAAAAATAATATATTCTGCTCACCATTATAAATGAAAAATCAGTGTTTATCAGATCGACCTTACCTGAAGTTTTGTCTAGGATAATATCAGCATACGATCCATTGCTTTTCATATGAATATTCGGTGCTCCAAAAATAGTTAACATGTTCCCAGCAACAGGTGTTGGGTGGAAATGATCTGTTAACTGCTCGACGTTCGGGGGCTTATAAATGAGCCCTCGAGAAAAAACCGGAAGCAGGAAAGAACAACTAAAAAGAACAAGACATGAAAGAAGAAACCTTTGTGGCAAAAATGTCATTTTTTTGGTGTTGAAGAGGATACATTGATTGTAATTGGCAGGGCATGTTTTTGGTTTATATACATGTTTCTATAGGTTGTTGGGAAATTAAAGGTGATTTTATATATTTATTTATTTATTTTTAATTTTTTGAATTTGGTACTTGTTTTCATCGTTTAATATGTTTGATTTTTAATGTTTGTTTATAGATGATAAATTATTTGTGGGTTATGCTTATATTTAAAGATATGCGAAGAAAATACTTAAGTTGGAAAACTCGATTTGGTAGCATTTAATTTACCTCATGCACGAAGAAAATGAGATTAGACCCTTGAAACTTAAAAGTTAACTAAAATAACTAGAGATGAAAGTTTCGATTTATTTATTTATAATCATGAAATTTATATTAAAATGAGAAAGTATAACCATTTTCTTTGGTTTCACGAACAACGTATCTTTTCGAAATTTACAAATCGTCCATCAAGTTGCAAATTGAAACCACCTTTACTTGGTTCTCCCGGCGAATAAAATGAAGATATTATTTTATTGAGTCTGAGGTCCATGTCCCTCCTTCTCTTCACTCTCTTATTACTTGGGTGGATACAATAGGTTGAATAGATTCAACATAAGGCTTTTGACCCGGTGGTGATTATTTCCTTTTGGACTTTATGGAAATTTCAGAATGCTTCTATATTTGGAACAATTACATCTAGAAAGTCTGATATCTTAATGTTATCGATAAGGCTTTTGGTATATTATCTTTCTAGTTTAGTTGTTATACGTTTATAAATAAAGTATAATATAAAGCTATCTCATTATAAATATCAAGGTTCTAAATAGGGATGGGCGTTTGGACCAAAAACCTTAACCGAACTGAATTAGGACCGAATAAGCTATTCGGGTCAGTTCTCGGGTATATATTTTAGGCTTATTCGGTGTTGATGATTTTAGTGTAACTAGATATTTTGGTATTTGGAACTAACATGTGAGCTTAGTATCTTATTATTTGTACTGTATATATTATATGTGCGATGAATGCGGAGTGCATGCATATATAAGATCGAATTATAAGTCAGTACGACAGAATTGTGGGGGTTAAGGAGTCACGCCCCCTTGCATGGTCCTAGGAGTAGCACCCCTAGCGGGGTCCAAAGGGCAGAGCCCCTGACAGTTATGGGGTAGCGCCCCAAAAGGTTTTCGAAAATTTGAATTAGTTTCATTATGGAAAATCCGAATTGTAATGGGTGATTATGGTAAGATTAACAAATCATTTTACTTTTGGAAACCACTGATTAAGCCATTAAATTCATGATTCTCCCAACTAATTTAGAAAGTAAAAATCCAAATTTGAATTAGTTTCATTACGACTCCTATTTTGATCCGTATAGAACTCTTCTCATCTCTCTCTCTCTCTCTCTCTCTCTCTCTCTCTCTCTACAATAAACTCATAATACGTCTGGCAATTTGGTTTGTGTTTCTGTGCCTAGATACACAAGTGTCATTTTGGATTATCCTAGACTAGATTTTCTGTAACCCAGACATAGGATGGAAATATCAGTTCGAAAAGTGACTTTACACGACCCATAGGGAATTCGTTTCTTCACCATCACCCTAATATTCCCCAACATTTGGTTCTCTACTTATTCATTCCGGGTTACCCGAATAACGTCTTAATCGGGCCTAAAGAACCGAACCGGAAATTGAAAATGTAATGTCCCAAAAATACTAAGTAATTTTTGTTTTTTAAATCAACCATTCATTTCAAAACCATCAAAGTATGTCAATATAGAAAATAGTTATCAGAGTACAATCCAAAATCATAAAATGGAAAACACTGGTGGATGTTGTGCGATCATGTCGGACCCTTACCCTTCGAATCGGAAGCACCTGAAAAACATTTTAAACATAAACTGTAAGCAAAAAAAGCTTAGTGCGTTCCCCAAAATACCACATACCATACATACATTATCACGGGCTACCCCCATGGTCTTGCATACAAGTGTCATGGGCTACCCCTATGGTGTTTTCCCTGGAATGCCATGGGCTACCCCCAGGGTCTTACAGCCAAGTGTCATGGGCTACCCCTAAGGTCTTTCCTTGAAATGCCATGGACTACCCCCATGGTCTAACATTCAAGTGGCATGGGCTACCCACATGGTCTTTCATGCAATTGACAGGGGTTACCCCCATGGTCTTTCATACATGTGTCACAGGCTACCCATGGGGTCTTCCATGCGAGTATCATAAAGACAACTAGCATCTTACGTAGTATAGTGAGAGTTCTCACCTCAATCTGATGATAAACAAATCACATACTCAAGTGCTACAAAGGCTCCTCACACTGTACATATCCAAAACCGACCCTAATTAATAATTAGGGTACTAACCCATAATCAAAGGTTCATTTCATATTCTCTCTTACTAGGGTAACTGTCCATTTTACCCTTTTCCAAGTTGGACCCACCCAAATATGGTCCAAGGCCCAAACTGACCCAAGTATACTTTCTGGGAGTACGACATGCATACTTCATCCTTACACCCTATGTACTGAGTGAACATAGAAAAGGATACGGGGCAAACCCGTTACACCCTGCGTACTTAGAGGTTACACCCTGCGTAACCCTCTGTTGCCCAAAACCAGGTTTTAAGCTCTTAATGCCTAATGGCTAAATTTCCAACTCACAAATCTTAATCTTGGGAAGGTCTTAACTTATAAAGTCGACAAATTTAATCTTTTGCATGCTTATTAGAGCCCAAAACCAAACCCTAAGTCCATAATACTCTTTAATAACCTCAAACTCTTACATGAGCGAGAAATAACAATAAAGACTTCATTTTTATGACACAAGATGAAACATCCCAAAAATATGACCAAAAAAAATTTGGTTTCAAATCATTATTTAAATCATAAACCATCCAAAATCATAAATCAGGTGTCATAAAACATCATAGCATCTGTCTCAAATCAAAATCTCATAACAAACATCAGAGTAAACTCCCAGGCTGAAGACTGTGGTGTGTGCCATGCCATCATCCCGAGCCCTTCCCTTTGCTAGTGTAAGTACCTTAAGCCAAAACTGAAACCGTAAGCACAAAGCTTAGTGAGCTCCCCCAAACTACCACATACCATACACGTATAATATACAATTAAGATATACGGGCCCCGCCCACACTCAGCTAACTAGGAGATACGGGCCCCACCCACACTCCGCTGACTCTGAGGTACGAGCCCCGCCCACACTCAGCTACTTCGAGATACGGGCCTCGCCCACACTCGATACTATGGATACGGGTTCTGCCCACACTCAACTGCTGCGAGATAAGGGCCCCGCCCACACTCAGCTTCTAAACGAACATACAAGTATCACACAGACAACAAGTATAACTAAATCTATCAGTCAGGCATACATCCGTGAACAATATAAACTGTGAGATATGGGCCCCACCCACACTCGGCTTTACTATGAGATACGGCCTGTCCACACTCAAACTACTAACATATCAAACTACGGGTCGGCCTTGGTGCCTTAGACCCGTTCTTACTGGAGGGAAACTCACCTCGTACGACTGACTGTTGGAAACATGAGTGAGGAATCCCTGTCTGCTGCTCCGGCGACTCTCCGGCTATCAAATCCATAACAACAATTAATAAAAATCTGATAATCCTTCTTAGGGTAAAATGACCATTTTACCCCTGGTCAAAGTCCACATCCTGGTCAAAGTCAATCTTCCAGGTTGACCTAACTCGCCGAGTCAGCCTATTGACTCGCCGAGTCTAGAACTCAGAGCCCTAAAAGTCACGACTCGACTCGCCGAGTCACCCTATGACTCGTCGAGTTCCGAAACTAACCCATAGCGATCGCTCCTAAACAAACTGATTCGTCGAGTCGTCCTCACAAACTCGCCGATTCCTTAATCAACTCGACGAGTCCTATGAATATCATCGGGGTTTCTTCATCAGACTCGCCAAGTTCCCTTCATGAACTCATCGAGTCCCTTGCAGATCTAACCTAGATAACTGGTTTCACACTTCTACAGCTCCAAATTACAGATCTTTGTTGTTTCAAGGCCTTTTCTATAAAGTTGGAGACTTGATGCTTTGCACACCTCAAATGGACCCAAACTCGAGTTATTGCAATCTACTTTCATAAATATGGCCATGGCTTGGATGAAAACGGATTCAAGCCTCCTTTTATGACCCTGGAGGCTAAATATGTAATGCCCGTGTTTCTAGGCTAGACATTAATATTGACATTATAGTCTAGGTTAACCTTTGTAACTCATTTTGAAGAAATGAAAGGAATTATGTGAATATATGTGTTTTATGTGTTTTATGCTTAATTATTAGGGTTTAATTAATTAAGAATAAAAATGAGCGTCAAAATTAAAATTTTAGATAAAGCCGATATCTATTAAGAAACTTGTAGTGGGCGTGACAAGGATTACGGATATATAAAGAATGCCGAAATCCGAGTTATACCGAAGAAGTTATGACCTGTCAAGTTTCGCGACAAAACCGACACGGGGCCGAATGTCGTAAAAAAGTGAGTTTTTGATAAACTACTTTTTGGCCTTAGTGATCTAAACGAAACTCGTAGTGTTCGTTAAACCGAGATTATGCATAAAAAGAACGCCCAAATCTGACTTCGTATGAGGAAGTTATGATTTTTCGAAGTTTCAGCTTAGCAGTAGACAGCTAAAAACTCGAATTTTAGATCGAGTGATTTTAGCAGACACGACCTAAACGAGAATCGAAGGTCTTGTCATTAGTAGCTCAACGGTAAAAAGTCTGAGACGAAAACGGACGTCGGATGAAGAAAGTTATGAATTTTTAACGGATTTCCTGTCCCGGTTCTGTTAAAAATAATAATATAAAAATAAAGTAAAATTAGCCAACAAAGTCTAAACGAAAGTTGTAGAGCATAATTTTACCTACGCGTGCATATAAAGAACGTCAAAAACGGAGCTCGTATGCGAAAGTTATGGATTTTAGAAGTTTTTGCACAAAAATCGAGAAAATTCGCATAGTCACGTTTTTGC